TCTCGTCTCCTAAGCGACACGGTGGCAGGCATACCATGAACCTCAGCTCTGATCCAGAAGCACATGGTTATACCATGAGTATGTAAAGTAATCCACAGGCATTGATGGGATTGCTAAAGGTTTGGTGTTAAGGATGGGCTGTGTTCAGCCTGAGATCCTATTCATGGCACAGAAGTGGTCACTGAACAGCTTGTGCTAGCCATCGCTAGCTCATGGATCACCTCAAGTGGTCACTCCAGCTGTTTATTATTCCTTATTGGTAGTGTGTGACTGATCACTGAAATTATCCACTGTTGCTTCTGCACTGATTAGATTCCTGCAATTTTGGAAGGAGTGGGATAATAAATAACAAATTATGAGGAGTGAATAACAAGTGCCTCTGTTTGTGCCGAGGTGTCCTTCTTTGCATGCTGAAATGGGGATTTATCTGCTGTTGCTCTCCTCTGCCCGCTATTTTTTTATTAGTGCAATGAGTTTAGGTGTCTTTTTCCTCAGCAACAATTTAGGTTTTGCTGAAGCAAAGAGCTCTTTGCAACCAGAATGCACATTAGCCAGAGGAGCTGGCAGAATTTGGCCAACTCTGAATCCGATGAAAAATCTTTAAGAGAAGGAGAAGGGGAAAAAAATACAAAGTTGGGGGGGAAGAACCCAACTCTAATGCTTTTTGTTCCAGCAGCTTTCTGCCACCAGTTAAATAGAGGATCAAATATGATCAGCCAGGTAGAAAAATGAAATAAAGACTGGGTTTGCTTGAGGTTACTGCTTTCTTTGGCTGCATTTTTCTCCTGGAGCATGTGGACTGCCAGTGCTGACATAGTGTTGGCCATGTCAGCAAAAGCTAGGAATAGTTATATATTTATTTTCTCATCTGGTGCTCTCTGCTTGCTGCTGTCAGCTGCTCAGAGTCACCTTCCTGCATCACCTCTGTTCTTTGAAAGCTGGCAATAAATCTAAAGCTCTTCTACGGCTTTGTTGGAACGCTGTGGAGTAGTGGCAGTAAAGGTAAAGTCGACTAGGCAGGGAGATAAATTGCCTTCACCTGCCCATCAAAAGGAACATCTCTTCTCTGCATGGATGGGAAAGGTATTCCACCCTCCCCGCCCCATTCCTCCCATTTTTTCCTCCTCTGTGCTGGCTGCTGTCTTCAAAGAGAAGGTAGCTTCCTGCAGAGAGATCCTTGCACCTTGTGAAGCATGCTGCTGGGCTTCACCATTCCAGCAGGAGCTTTGCTGTCAGTATGTGACAAGGCCAGGATGCCATGGTAGGGTTTTGTTGTGGCTGCAACCAGATGTGCCTTTCTACTGCTGTCTGCAGCACTGAGCACAGCACATGTGTTTGCAAGGGCAAGGCTAGAGGTACCAGTAATGCTCGTGCAAGCAGCTCCATGAAAAGGAAAGCCATCCCCAGCATCTTGCCTATCAGGAGTGAGTTAAAGTGCTTGAAAAACCAGTCTCTTGCTTTTGGCTCTGTGCACTATAACAGCATTGCAGGCTCTTTCTCCCTCTTATTTTGTGTTCTTTTTCTTATTATTTTCCCTAAGGACTTTTGCTTTTGAAATATTCTGTTGATTTTTTGATCTCCTCTGCTTTTGAAAAGGCCGCCAGAAAGGTCTTGTCAGCAATTTAATGGGGAGATAAAAGAAGAAGGGGATTGTTAACAGAGGGATAGTGCCTGACATCTGGACAGGGCTAACGTGTGATAAAACAGGAGGCTTGTAGGCAAATCTGCTGTGCTTGATCTCTTGCCAAGGCAAGGTTTGGACCCAATGGCTTTAAAATATGCCCACGTGGATGGAGCCTGAGTTGCCCAAATCCCTGGCGATGCCTGCAGATCAGGTATGAGGAGGCCTGGGGTCCCTGCTCAGATGCTCGCTGAAGTTAAAACTCTTTCAGTTGGCTTCAAAGGGATCTAATCCCAAATTATCTACTCTGACCATTTTGACTGGGGGAGATTTAAAAGAATAAATGAAAAATAAGCTGCTGCTTCAAACCTGGATTCCCAGAAGATGGAGGATGCTTGTAGGGTGTGAAGTTAGGAGCCAGGGGTTTGGGGGTGCTGATGTCCTTCCCAAAGGCTTTGTGACATGCAGAGCTCCTAGGCGATCCACCTGAACCTGCATGTGGAGGTGGTTGGGCAGTCACTGGGAAGAACGTTACTGGCTTGTCAGTTATTTAGTTTATGAATTATTTGATTAATCTTGGTGCTTTTTCATTCTTCCAATGACTTAGAGCTGGAGTAACTGGTTTTCAATAAAAACCAGGCAAAAAAATAGGAGGATATGTATAGATGCTGGATTGAGACTCCTCTGGGGCTTCAAACACCCTTTGGCTCCAGTGGAATTAAGAGCTAGTGCTTTTATAGATTGGTTTTGTAGGACATTGTCCCAACCTGTGCGCAGACCTGGGGCCAGCTCAGGCTCAGTTTTGCCACTTGGGCCCCATTTCTGGTTTCTGCTGGCCTCCTCCAACAAGTTTTACACTGTGCCAGATGACAAAGCTCAGCATTTAGGAAAGGACTTTTCCCATGCATGCAGAAGTCTATGCACAAAGAGAGGTTCAAGCAAAGAAACTGATGTTGAATGCACACTACGCTCCTTTTTTTTGGTCCATAGCTAGGAAACTAAAGGCAAGTGTTCTGTTTTTGTTCTGTTTTTAAGGGCAGAGAAGGCAGCAGTGAGCCATGAAAATAATTTTGGCTGCTGCTTGTATCAGAGATAACTCTCCATAGGAGATGCTGGCTCAGATGCTTCTTTCTTTCCATCCACAGGTGAAAACGACTGCAAAACTTAAATCCAATATATAAAGGCAGAGAGGGAAATGTTTAATTGTCCTGACTCTGTGGCAGGCTGATAAGCTTGGATTGATTTTCTGTAGTGTAGTCTCCAGAGTGTACGTGTTGGTGTGTGTGCATGTACGTGCGTGAATGTTTCTTGCTCCTTGGGTATTTCTAGTCTCCCATCGAGTGGCGAGAACTCAATGCTTCCTCCAGAAAATGGTCATTTACAGCACAAGTGGGTTTTGGTGTTTGTTTTTTTGTTGTTAGTTTGGATTTTGTTTGTTTGTTTGTGTACTTGTTTGTTTTCTCCTCCTTTTCCTCCTTTCTATTGGCTTCCTACAAGCTTTCCAGCAGAGTAGGGAGAGAGGTCTCAGGGAAGATGTCCCTTCCTCAATGCATATCCCTCAATCTGAAGCTCAAAGACAGGTTCGTATTCACATAATTTAGAACCATCCTGCTGAGGGGTGTAATCCCTGCCTATTTATGCTTGTTAATTCAGAGGGAATAATACAATTAAAGGCAATACTCAATGGGTCTTTTTCAATAGCTTGATCTATTTTGTACCAGAGAAGCACAGAAAAATGCCTAGTTAACTGTTTATGTATTTTAAGGGTTTGTTGGAAAGAAAAATAAGTGAACGCTGCAAGAAGGGATTGTCCAGCAAGTTTTATAGCTCATATCTGAAGCCTACAAGCTCCAAAAGATTTTGGATACGTAGCAGGAACCTTGCTGTTTATCTCACCTGAGCCTGCAAACCCACCGAGGTTTGTTTCTCAATGCTAATTATAAAAAGTATGTGTTTGTTTGTCTGCAGTGTTAGAGAAATGTCCAGAGGAGCTAAAAAGGAGACAAACAGTGTTCAAATGGGGGGAGGAGGGGCCATGTTGGAAAACGAGAAAACACCAGCCTCCCTGGAGATGTAATAGGCTTAGTAGGCCTGCTTGACACATGTCGGGTAAAATGAAAAAAACCCACAACAATGTTTATAAGAAGATTAGCTTGAATATGGCGAAATTTCTCTAGGGACTGTCCATGGCTGAAGCTCAAACCAAGAACACCCAGGGCCTTATCAGAGTAATGAATTTCCACCACTTTGGGCCATTACGAATCCCCCCCGGCCCCTTTCTTCACCCGAAACATCTTTGATTTGGGGCGCATCTGCTGGGGATGGTTCAATTTGTGCTGTCGCCCTCCTTGGTGGGGCGGAGGTGCAGCGTTGGGAGTTAACTCATTGGAAATAATGTGTTGTGACTATCTAATTTATAGCTGCCACCCCTTGGGGAAAAAGACCTGTATCTGGCCAGCAGATAATCCTTGGGCTCATTACAACATTGTTCCGAAACAAATCCCCCAGGCTTCTGCCTGCAATCACTTTTACATACATGTAGGCAAATGTCTCTCCATTCATGCTCGCCACGTTGCAGGTGGAGACTGAGCCAGTAGGCAGGGGACTGGAATCTTTATCTGGTTGGCTGGAGTTTGGAATTTTTTTTTAGGAAAGCAACTAAACAGAAAACGTTCAGAAACCGGCCTTGAAAAATTCCAGCTGAAATTCTCAGCAGTATAATGTGGGAGAGTAGAGAGGTTAACCCGTACTCCCCTTGGATATTTTGGCCTCATCCAGCAGTACCATATAGCTACTCCAGTGGTTTCAGGGTTGTCCCTGCAAGCCTCGTCCCAGAGCTGCATGCCACAGTGTTTCTTCTGCCCCTGCCACTGCATGAGTGCTCTTCTGCCAAAACCTGGTTTTAACCCACATGCTTTGGTGAATCAGTACAAACACACTTCCTCTTCAACATCCTCTTAACGGTGGGAAGTGCTGAAGGCTTTGGAGAATAGCTCTGGGGTGCATGTCAGAAGTTGGTGGGGGTGGGGGGATCTGCAGCACATAGGTGTGAGATGTTTCAAAAATGTGTGGTGGCAATGCTTGTGGGGTATCATGAGAGCACCTTGTGATATTTGGGACATTTCTGATACACGATACCCACTTGTGGTACCAAATGGAATCTTGGTGGGATGTGTGCTGTTTGGGCTTTCACTTTTGGGAGGTCTGAAAGAGCTTGTGATTTTGGGGGGAATTGTTGTGTGGGGGTTTTTAACCCCTTGAGATGGTTTCAGGAGCTCCAATATTGCTGACTAATTTTCAAAACAATCAATGGCCAGCTCCAGCCAGGTTTATTTATCCTGATGCATCAAAATGCACCTGCCTGTTTTCTCTATTTTAGTTGGCTGCAGCAGCATGTAAGCCCTCGATTAGCGGTTGCTTTACAGCGACCTGAGAGGAGCTTGGGGCTTGCTCAAGAGCCTGTGCTTTCAACTGCCTGCATGACTAATGCTGCCAGAAGCTGTCTAGAGACAGAGGCCAATGTTTGAAGCCATCAGTGTTTCCAGTATATGAAATACCCAGATCCAGTCTGGAGCAGCTGGCGGGGGAAGAACCCTGTGCTGGCAGCCAGAACTTGTATCACCAAACCTGTACTCATCCTGGCATGGTTTGGCACACTTGCCCATCCCTGGCAGCCTGCTCCTGCAGGATTACAAGTGATTAAGCAGGCGTGAAAACACAGTAACCCTTCCTTTCCATGCAGAGGCAAGAGCAAAGGTGTGGACCCCCCTTCTCCCTCCTTCCCACCCCTTTCCCTGCTCTCCTGGACATCCAGGGCATGCGCTTCCTGCTGGCCCTACGGATTCCCATGGGAAGAGCCAGGTAAAGGGGTCTGGAGCAGCCTTTGCTTTAAAAATTGCTTTTGCAAGACTTTGCTATACCAAAATTGCCTTTGCTATAGTAGAAAGTCCTCTGGGGTTTTACACAGTGCACTTTGAGAAACTCCCCGAGTGCTGGGAAATCTCTGCCTTTTCTGCCTTTTCCTCCTTTCCATGAGTTACGATCTTCCTCTTGTCATCCCCTGGTCCACCATGGCAAGGAAATTATTTATCTGGGAGGGGAAGGACTGTTAAATAGATAGATTATGCATTTGTGTTTGAAATAAATGGAAAAGGGAGAAAAGATTCTTCTTCCTTCTCCCCTTCCACCCTGTCTCCCTTGGTGGTCTTGGTGCTACATCCTGTATTTTCATCCAAATTGAATGGTTTATTTTTATCTGGTTAGGAAAATAAGCATTAAAAGTCACAAGATGGATTGCCCGCATGCAGATCTTCAAGGGCTGGAGGGAAAGACTGTGGGGGGAATATTGCGACCAAGAGGAGGCTGAAAGAATAAGTCAGTAGTACGTGTGGAACTGAAAGGTGGCTGGACCATTCATTCCCATTATGAAGAGGTACACTACCATTAATAATCGTTTTAACAAGAGCTGGCCTGAGCTAACAGGTCTGGGCTGCATTTCTGGAGAGTGAATTTTTATTTAATAATAATAAAAAAATACCATGCATCCAAATGAAAAGGTACATTGGGCTCAGTTCTCCTACCTGATATTTATTACTGCTTCACCTGCCTTGAAATAGGAACATTTATTTGGCTAACACATATTAAAAGGGCTGTGCATGTCATATTTCCTTTCCTACAGCACTCAAACCCAAGAATGCTTTGACTTAAAGCTCCAAAAAATGCTGGTTTCTGAGCAGCTATAATCTTTCCAAGGAGGAAAGGACTGCACCGTCTGGATGAAAGCATCTCACCATCAGAAATCCCATGTTTCCAAGGTGAGTTGTAGAAGTCTCAGAGGCTGCACAGTAAGATTGGAGTTTGCCAAAACCTCTGATTCTGCTCAGGTGGGTTTCTGTAGCCCTGGCTTGTTGAGAAAATCAGTGGAGCGCAGGTCAGGAGATGGAGCTTTGCTGAGGATTTTATCCATGAAACCACATCTTTTATAATAGATAACGCATTCCTTTTTAAAGGAATACATGTGTAAAAACCTATGAGTCCTTTATGAAGCAGCCGTCAGGAAGAAAGCATTTAATGTTGCCGATTTAAGAGAACAGGGAAATCAGCTGTTAACCAAGCACTCTTCATCTACTTGATTTCTAGGGGAAAAAAAAGCAGCCAGGCAAAAAGCCAAACTTGAGACAAGGGTGTTTGGGCTGCAGGCTAGAAGCTAAATGAGGCTGACTGGTACAATCCCTGCTTCAGCCATGTTGCCCAAGGCTGTGGGAATGTGGGCACGGAGAGGCATGGGAGGTCTCCCTGCTCTTATATGTGCCAAAAGCATCCATGCACCAGAATATAAGCACCTTTTTCATGGTGTACCACTGTTCATGTCCACACATGCAGGACAGCAGGCATACAATCAGCTATGCATGGAGCAAGTCCTACTGATGGGGGTGGGCTGTGGCATCTTGAAAAGATTCAAAAGGGCAGAGAGGAGAGAGAATGGGCAACTCTAAGCTAAGGTGTTCACTTAGATGTGAATGTTGCAGGTTAAATACCTCTGACAATGAGGAAAGGATAGGCAAACTCTGGAGAAGAACCACTTCAGGGAACTTCTTATGCCATGGTGGTATCAGAGCAGTCTTAGTCTCCTGGCACCTGGTATGGCATCCTGCAGGTTGGGGTGCTCTACAGGCAGGCTCTTCTCTATAGACAGACTATTGATACATTGTGGTACTCGGATTTGGACACAGTTCAGATCTAACGATTCTGCAGGCTGTCCCTGTTTGTTTTATGCTGCTGGTGATGTGATTCCAAAGTGAACTTAGCTGGTTTGTCCTCAGGAAAGTGTTATTTTTTTAATTAATGCAGAAAAAAAAAAAAAAAAGAGTGAGAACACAATATCAGCTGGGCTCCTGCTATGTCTGACACCTTCATCTTCCCCTCTTGATGATGCTTGGCCAGACTGCCTGCTAAACATATTTGATGTTTCCTTCTCTAGATGCGCTGGGATAATTGATGCTCACCTCCTGCAAAGTGCAGGGTGCCACATGCTGGACACCAATAGCAACCCCCTTATTTTGGGTAAATAAGTCTCTTTTTCTGGCAATGCAGCTCGTTTCCCTCTTTGGATCCCATTATTGGAGTATTGCACTTCCAGAGGTGACTCACCGTTGCAAGGACAATGTTCAATCCAGCTGGAGAAATGGGCATTTTGAGTAGTGCCAGGCATCTGTTCTTTGGAAATGAAGGTGATCCTAAGTGCCAAGGGACAGAGACAGCTTGCTTTCATTAGTCACTGTTAAGATTTCAGTTCCCCTACCTCACAAAGGCCAGGAGAGGTTGAGGATTTGCTATTTTTCACAGTGTCACAGCAGTGGATGCTACAAGCTCAATATCTGATGGGAAGACGAGAGCGGAGGAGCTATCTCACTGGAGGAACGAAGGGGATGGGGAGATATCTTCTCATTTAACTGACTTGAGATTTTCTGCCTTTAACTGAGCCACTTCAACCATCTTTTGAAATAGACCCTTTCCTGTGGCAGAACCTTTGCTTTGCCTTTAGAGGGGGACACACAGAAATTCCCTCTTGCAGTGTTTGCCCCAAATTTTGGGGGATTTGCTACTTTAAGAGCCCAAACCTAATGGCAGGGGACAGGCAGACAGGTGCTGATGTATGAACACCGAGCCAGATCCCACATGCCTTTTCTGCTTAGGAAATAAGAAAAAACTTAAATTACTGAGATTTCAGTTTCCTCTCTGATGATCCACAGTCCTGCCCTCTCCATACCCCCACCTTCTGCCTCATACCTGCTCTTTCCAGTCCAGAGATTTTGGAAATTTGTATCCATCTGCTTCTTTCTGATAGAAAGATAGTGTATCGCAGGCAATGCAGGCAGGGCCCTGGCGGAGCTGCAGCGTTAATTAATGGTAATCCCTTAATCCGAAGGTGATGGGAGAGATCGCGTTGGCTAGTTTGTCCTCTCGTGAGCATAGGGAAGTGTCAGACCTGTAACAAGACTGCCTGTCCAACACTGCACCAGGCACAAGAGGTGGGGTTTTTAACTCTGATTATCTATATTGGAATAACTAGTTATTATCATGGGGGTTCCCCCCTCTGCCAGTTGTCATAATCTGGTGAGACCATATTTGCCACAAAAAAAAAAAAAAGAGAGAGAAAACCTATTTATTTTGCAATTTTAAGGGGAATTATGAGTGGAGTTTGCTGGGGCAGGTTTTCTTCCCTTCTGTCCTTCCCCCCAGCATCAACGTTTTTATTCAGAAAAGAGCCCCAAGTGCCAAAAAGCACCATTTCACTTGGACAACTTACTGTGCTTGATCTGGAATCTTCCTGAATGCTTTCATCCAGTCGATCAAAACCATTCAGCTCTCAGCTATCCTGCACAAAAATATCTTCTTTTTTTCCTTTTAATTTTGCACCTTTCAGTTCTTCAATACCAGTGCGAGGCAACAGGAGAAAACCTCAAGATCATGTAATTCCCACAGAAAATTGCATTTGGATGAAAGAGGTTTTTGCTTTCGCCCCCAGAATGGTAGTTTGAATAAAATTTTAAGAAGAAATATTGACCAGTTCTGCTTCTGATGGTGTCTGTGTTTCCACCTCCAAAAGGAAAGAACCCAGTTCCAGCACATGCCAGGAGGCACAACTGGGCCGTGAATATTAAGGCCACAATGACACAACCTACATCCTTACCTATTACCCATCCTATTTCCCACAGGCAAACTTTGAGCTTTCAAAATCACCAACACAGTAGGAAACAACAGGGCAGTGTTTTGATGGCCTAAATTTCATCTGAGTCATCTTAGCTGTGACTTTCTTCTCTTTAATTTGCTCCTGTTTTGTTATAGTGCCTGCTACTGCACTTCCCATTGTAACTCAGCCTTGGGTCAAGGCCAGCATTAAGCATGCTTGAGACTCCAAAGGATCTTGTTGACATTTTGTGTTGGGTTCTTGCACAGGTTTGAATTTTATCCCTGGATCATTCTGACCTGGAATTCAGAAGGCCAGAAGATTTTTCAGCTGCAGTGTGATGCAGCTCTGCCCAGACTGGATGCTCACATCATTCGGGGCTGTGACGAAGTCGAGACTAGCAAACCAGAGCACACAAAGGAGGGTAATGTTATCTTACGATTTGAAACTCCTTGGAGTGTGTCACACCCTCTCCAAGGACACTCGATGCTTCCTCTTGAACTGCCTTCACCACGGTGGTCTAAGTCCTCCTCCCAGCACCCCTTGCCCCTTCCCTGTGCTCCTCGGGAGGGGAGGATTTGCCATGGGTTTGCCTGGGTGTAACATTTAGGAGGGCTTTCACTTTTTCCAAGAATCAGCAGAGTTGTAGAAAAACTAACATCTGGGCTTCAAATTAAAAATTAAGACTAATAACGTTCCTATACGTGTCATTAAAAAACTCCTGAGTTGAACAAATATGGCACATTTCCACACATCCAAGAGTGTTATTCTGGGTCTAATGAAACTTCTTCCTCTAATGCAGAAAAGTATGAGTATTCCTCCAAAGCACACTCTTTAATAAATTCATCTCTGCTGTAAACACCATCCGTTTCTGAGGGTCTCTAAGCAACTGCTGTTGGGGTCAGTCCTGTCTCCAACCTTCATTTGCTGCTCAGCTGCAGAGAGGCAAGCCAGGATGGGTTAACAGGTGAGGTGTAATTCCAGCTAAGGCCATTTAATTGAGTGGACCTTGCTGCTGGAGGATAAAAAGGCAAGACCTGAGCAGTAGTAAGTTAGTGATGTCTTGCTGGGATGTTGAGGGCTTTTCT